ACATTGTGGTAATCGTAATTAATAATTGTAATTACAATTTCAAGGGAATAATCGACAATTATGATTTTTGTCATAATCGTGCAGCCCTAACCTGTATTGTATTGTATGTGTTTTTTATGTGGAAATATTTTTAACAAGAACATTTCTTTAAAAAAATTATTTTAATATTCCATTTATAAATATTTAGATATTTTTGAATAATATATATATATATATATATATATATATATATACACACACACACACACACACACACACACCACACACGCAAAAAATAATGTATATATATTTCTATATATGTTGTACTTTTTATATATATTATTTTCTATAATATTTACATACTGATTTTTAGTTTTTTATTTTATTGTACCGATACACAAAATGCATGTAAAATACTGATTTTAATATTATAATTCTGAATATTCATTTAAAAATAAATTTTTGTTTAATTTTAGCTATAGATTTTTATCTCTGTGAATGTGTTTATTTCTTATAGTAAATAAATACTTTTCTATGTGTGAGGTGGCGTGGTTGAGTGGTCAGAGCTCATAGCATAAGACCTCAACCCAATGCAGGAGATGTGGGTTCAAATCCCACCTCTGCTGCGGATGTGAATGAGAAAGCCAATTTTTTTCCCCATTTAGCAGCCAAAAAAAAAAAGATGTAAAAATTAAAAAAATATATATTTTTTCTTATTTGGCTCCTCCTCCTACCTCAGGTCACCTCTCATCTCATCTCCAGCTTTCTCAGGCCCGCCTCTCTCATCTCCAGCTTTCTCAGGCCCACCTCTCTCATCTCTGCTTCTGGACCAGCCTTCATCTTGAGTGGTCAGAGCTCATAGCATAAGACCTCAACCCAATGCAGGAAATGTGGGTTCAAATCCCACCTCTGCTGCGGATGTGAATGAGGAAGCCAATTTTTTCCCCATTTAGCAGCCAAAAAAAAAAAGATTTAAAAATTAAAAAAATACATATTTTTTCTTATTTTCAGGCCCGCCTCTCTCATCTCCAGCTTTCTCAGGCCCGCCTCTCTCATCTCCAGCTTTCTCAGGCCCGCCTCTCTCATCTCCAGCTTTCTCAGGCCCGCCTCTCTCATCTCCAGCTTTCTCAGGCCCACCTCTCTCATCTCTGCTTCTGGACCAGCCTTCATCTCTTGGCCCTCTCATCGCCCCAGTTACATCTGCCAGTTAGTCCGTGTTTCTTATGGCTGTGTGACCAGTCTGTTTTACCACTCCAGGTATTTTAGCCAGTCTGCCTCTGGCTTTCTGTTTCACCACACTTTGCCACCACACTCAGTTATTCACCGCCCCAGGTGATTCACTGTTGTCACAGCTTTCTCTCTTTGGTGTGATCTCCACACACCGAGGTGGGATTTGAACCCACTTCCCTACCGTAACCTTGTCTGCAACCACCGTGCGTTTAGCCACTAGTGCCATCGTGGCTTTCACAGCAACTTCTGACATTTGGGCCGCTTTGTTGGATATAACATCAACAATCTAACATAAGCAATAGTGGGATTTGAACTCAGGTCTTCATGATTAAAACACAAGGCTTTACCACCTGAGCTACAGAGCCTGAGGAGTTGAGCTGGATTTGGATGGGGTTTTACTTTACTGGGATTTTACAGAAAACTGTAGTATGTGCTGGGTTTGAACCCAGACTGTTACCCATGGAAGTCAAGCAATTACCCACTGCACCACAGATGTTACATTATTGTATAACAATAATTAAAGATAAGTAACAATGGGATTCAAACTCAGGATGCCACATTTAAAACAGTTTATCCCCTGAGCCACTGAGTCTGTAGAGCTGCAGTGTGTTCTGGATATGCTATTATTTTAAGCTGCAGCATAAATTATAGCAAGAAAGTGACATAAGCAATAGTGGGATTTGAACTCAGATCTCCATGATTAAAACACAAGGCTTTACCACCTGAGCTACTGAGCCTGAGTAGGTCAGCTGGATTTGGATGGAGTTTTACTGAGAGTTGTGTTGTGTAAGAAAACTTTAGTTTGTGCTGGGTTTGAACCCCAACTGCCACACAAGGAAGTCAAGCAATATGTACCACTGCACCACAGACATTGTGCCATACAAGGTTGTTTTGGTTTTTGGTCTATGTCATTATCTATAACAATAATTTTTCAAAGAACATGAATTGCTTAATAAATGGTGAAAAGTACCTTAGCAATGATGTGGTGATTTTTTGCTGAGCCTTCAAGGTCTTCGTGTGTTGTTGAAGAGGTTTTGAAGAAAGCTTTGTTTTAAATGATGAAAAGTACTTTAGCCACTGTGGATTTGAACCAAGGCTTTCATGTACCAAAAAGCAAAACGTCATCCACGGAGTAAGAGAATTCATAATGTTACATAGTGTTGTGTTATCACAATGTGACAATGTGGTTTTTAGGTTCGTTTAGACTTTCAGGTGAAATACAGTTTTGTTTTTCTTGGCATTGTCAGCTTAACAAAGTACTGATTAAAGTACATGAATTGGCTAATAAATTAATTTGCATTATTTCTTGTGTGCATTACTGTATAGAATGCCTTCACTTTTCACCTTTGTACATATAACATTTTTAAAAGTGATATGTAAAAAAAATGTTAGGTGTGGTGTTTTTGGTAGAAACAATGAAACCCCCCCCCCCCCCCGCC